GTAGATTTAGTACCATTTGTGTTTGCCATTTTGGAAAAGGGGGATTATCTTGAAAAGGCAAAATGACCTACAGAATGAACTGTTTTTTCTACCTGAGACTGGAGATAGGGAAAAGAATGCAAATAAAGTATGTCAGTGATGAATGTGATATTTTTTTATAAGGGCTCATAAAATCATGAATATTATCCCATGAAAGATGCATCACTAAAACCTTGGAAATAAAAACGAGTTAAATATCAGGATATGAGTTTTGACATCTGAATTTGTACGAGTCAAAGCCCGAGGCCCCGACAGAGAGTGCGAGTGGCTCATGGTGGGAAGGTGTCCAGGGTTACTTCAGACACTGGAGGAGTGCAAGGCTAGCGCTTCCTTTAGCTGAGTTACAGCCCTTTAAAGAATGTGCAAGGTTTAAACACAGAGCAAAAGCCTTAGCTAATGGGGACCTTAAATAAGAACACAGTCAGGTTCTGGATGGAAAATAATGCAGGTTTGAGTGTTAATGAGGAAATACAAGTCCGAGTCAAAATCTGCTGTATGACATGGGTCTGCAGAGACTGGCATTATGGCAGAATTCATTTGACTAATCAGAGGCATCTATTAGTGCAAAACACTTCCAAATGGAAAGGAAAATTGTTTTGCCTTTTTTTTTTTTCCCATCGAATGCTGGTGTGCAGTCTTTAGGAGAGTTTCTGTCTTTGTGTGCCACAATGTTGGGTCTCAGCGGGAAGATGAGGATAGAACCGGTCCATATCAGTGCTGGGCTCGGGGGCCACAGTTTCAACATTGCACCAAGTCAGGCACAGAACTGGGCTGTGCCAGAGCTGCTCTCTTCTAAAACTGGGATATGCAGAGGTGTTTCCTCCAAAAGGACTGTCTTGGCTTTGGGTGGGTTGGTTGTTCCTAGAGAAATGAGGTTATTTGGGATGATCAATAATGAAGAAGGTATTAATCCACTCACCTCCAGCAACTTCAACTGGACTTTTTGTCCTCTCTTTAGTTTGCCCCTCTACAACCCTTTCTTCCCTGCTCCCTTCCCTTGCAGATGGTCTGGGAGGGGAGCAGCCGCAGCTGTTATGTTGAAAGCATCAGGCTGGGTCTTGTGAGGCTACTGCTCCTGTAGATATGAAGGACCTGGGCCACGTTTGATACCAGGTGAATGCAGCACAGCCTAATTAGTGGTCTCTTACTGTTATTAACCCCTGACTCAGGTAGGCTATTTTTTAACAGAGGTGCAAGCAGTTAATACTAGTGCTAATGCCTTCATATCCAAGCCCTTAATGAAAGCCATGCAGGGACCAGGCCTATCATCAATATCTTTCAAACTTTGAACTTGAAATTATCCTCTCCCCTCCTGCCTTTTCCTGGGGGGAAGGGAGTTGGGGGGAGCTTTCCCACATCCTCTCCCACCTCCTCCCGAATCTCCTGGCTCTGTGGTATGACCTGGCCAGCAGGGTTGGCACTTGCAGTCGATGGTAGAGCTGAGTCTCTGTGCATCCAAATAAATGGCCCCAGCTGGCTACATGGGTTACTGTAGCACCTCCCACCAGGTGATGAGATGTTTGCTTGGACAGCAAGAGGAAGATAAAAGTGGAGTGCATTGGACTGGGAGAATAGAGAGCAAACAGATGCTGTTAGGGAGAAAGCTTGCTCTTGGTCTTGGTCTTCTTTTTGTTTTGGTCTTGCTTGAACCAAAATCCAGGAGAAATTCACAGACCCAGTAAAGCATTTATATGTATAATTTTTTCAAGCAGAAATGGATGTGGTAAGGGCAGTTAGCCATATTGCTAAGACCTGAGAGGAGAAGAGAAACATGTCCAAGGATGAAGCTCCCTCATGAAGGCACTGCCTCAAAAGTGTTTGCAGGAGCAGGGATGGTGGAGCAGTGTTTCCTGCTGTGTGATGAAGGGGTCACAGCGTGCTGGTTTGGGGTGATGGCAGTTGATTTCTGGGGTGTTTTCCTCTGTTTCTAGCACTTCAGACTTGTGTGCGATGCAGCTGCAGGGTCATGTCGTGATGTCTGGTGGGAGAGGGTAACGTGCTCAGGCTCTGTGGCTGGATTATGCTCTTTTGAAACAAGAATTTCTTCTCTTTTTTTTCATACATTTTTCTTTTTTAAAATAAGCCTGTTAAAATAAATTTGAAATTATGACAACCTATTTTAAGGCTTAAATTTACTATAATCTATTAATCATTTAAATAACTTCCATCAAGGAGTCCTCCTCAAATATTAATGAGCTGAAGGGTGCTGCTTTTTCAATGATATGTCAGATCAAGGGAAAACATCTTTAACAGTAGCTTTCTAAATGTCACAATGTCATATACTTAATATCTATTATTTTCACTCTTTACAATAGAGCAAATGCTGGTATTTACATTTTTCCAAATGTCAGTACGTTGAGTTCCTGTTGTGCATAAAAGCTCTTGCCTTAATTACTCCTAATTTCATGTTAGCAGGCAGGTGAGGGAAGAATATTTTCTTACATTTGAGCTAGTTCATTTGAAGTTGGGAAGCTGTGGGAAGTTGGGGAATCGGGAAAGCTTGTTTTCGCCTTTCAGCCCATGAATAAAAACCAGGTGGGAGAGGAGGAGATCTGCTTTTTCAAACCCTCCCGGCTCCCAGGACCAGGTTTTCAAAGGGGATCTGTGTTCCTAAACACATAGCTCAGCGGTTAGAGGGAATTTCAAAAGTGCTTCTGGCTTCCTAGCTGCTTTAACTCCTCTCAGTTTTGCTTCCCAGCGGCATAAAGGAGAGCTCAGCATCTCCCTGCTTGGGACACTCAAAGCGCACTGACTGACACCAGAAATGTGGCCCATGCTGAGCAGAAACAATCTGCCAATTCACTCACTGCGGCTAATGTTTCTTTTGATTAATCAAATCAGTTTGGGAGGATGAACCTGGTTCCTGATGCAGATTTCCTCCCCCCTCCCCGGTAGCTAGCTCACTTAAGGCAGCCTAATGAAATTAATTAACAGTAAATTTAAAATGTTGTTTTTCGGTACTGTAATTGAACTCCAGTTTTCATTTGAAGGCAGCATGAAACAAGCAAAATAAAGATGACAATTTACAAAGCAAGACAGGCTCTTTCCCATCAAAATGAATGGCTACAAATGGGATGGAGCAGACTGGTCTAGCTGGACCATTCTCACAGGGCAGAGACAGGAGGGAAAGGTGTGTCTTGCTGGGAAGCTCATCACATTTTTAAACATCATTCCAACGTATGCAATTGAAGCTTATATTTTCAGGAAAAAATAACTAACTTACAATGCAAGGCTCAAGCTGATGGCTGAGATCTAAGTGGTCTGAGATGGTGATCAAGGTGATCTGGTCTCAGATGGCAGTGGTGGTTAACACGGTGCCCATCTCTCCTAGGGATGTGCTGTTGTCTCCTCCCTTTTGCTAAGACCCTTTGCTGTAGGAAGTCCCTAAATTTTGGAGTCAGCCAAATGAATTTGGTTTGGTTTGGCATTTAGTGTCCTGTGGCATGGGTCGTGTTCATGTCCTTAGCTGTTCCTCCTGCTTGGGTGTCCTCTGCTGCTGTCACTCCTCAGCCCAGTGTCATGGTTTAAACCTAGCCTGTAACAGTACCATGCAGCCACTCACTCACCCCCTTCTTCCCCCCTCCTTGGGTGGAATAGGGATGAGAATCAAAAGACTGTAACCCCACAGGTTGAGATAAGAACAGTTTAATAGCTTAAGTATAATACAAAACTATTACTGCTACTACTCCTAGTAATAATAAGCAAAATAACAAGGGGAGAGAATATAAAACCAAAAGGAGAAAGGAAAAAACCCCAATAAACACAAATGATAACAATACAGTTGCTCACCACTCGCTACTGATACCTAGCTCGACCTGAGCAGTGATCTGAACCTTCTGGGTAACTGCCCCCAGTTTATATACCGAGTATGATGTGCTGTGGTATGGAATACCCCCTCGGCTAGTCTGGGTCAGGTGTCCTGTCTCTGCTTCCTCAGGGCTTCCTGTGCCCCTCCTCACTGACAGAGCAAGAGAGGCTGAAAGTCCTTGATCAGGGTAAGCGCTACTGAGCAACATCAGTGTGTTATCAGCGTTGTTCTCCGATTGAAGCCAAAACACAGCACTGCACCAGCTACCAGGAAGAAAATTAACTCTATCCCAGCTGCAACCAGGACACCCAGATCTGTGCCACTGCCCCCAAACCCTGAAGTTAAAGGTATTTAGGGGAAGTCAGAGTATTTGGGCATGAGGTGCAGGTACATCTGCAGATCTCAGGGCTGAGTCCTATGTGGCAAGCTGTAAAATATGGTTGAAGATGGAAAAAAAATGCACCCTGATTGCAGCCAGAGCTGCAGGTACAATTGCAGCCAATGTATGTTTCTCCATTCACAAAGGATGGGAAATATTTTCTGTCTGCAGTAACTTGCAACATGGTCCCAATGATCCTGTGAGTGTCACTGAGAAGCCTATATCCTCTGCTCTCTATGGCTTGTGTTGTGTTTAACACAAAGCATGTGGGTGAAACCCATCCAAATTAGGGATGGAAGGATGCTGCTGGGCTCCCCAGCTCTGGCCCCGAGATGCTGTCAGTAAGTGCTTTATCACTGCACTACATCTGTCTTTTTGCTCTCTTACCAAAATGTGTAAATACAGATTGAATTCTCCACCTCCCCCTTTTTCTCCATCGCTCTTGTCTGCACTCTGGCAGCTTCTTTACACCCTGGCAGAGGTTGGCTTTTGTGCCAGGAGTCAGGATCACATGGAGTTTTCAAAGGTGATTTTCTTTCTTTCCCATGCAGCTGCCAATCCACATCTGGATTTTACCTAGAAATTTGGTTTTACTCCACTTTGACCCTTCAGGCTGTGGGTTGTATAGGGCAGTAATGGTGCTGGCAGGAGGTGACTGGAGGGAGCCTGCTGTGTGTGTCTCTTAATCCCTTCACCCATTTGGGGGGAAGAGGTGAATGTCCCCCACCACCCCTCTCCTCCACATTTCCTGTGTGACCAGCTTCGCTTTTGCAGAGATCTCGGGCAATACGGATGACATCCCACTGGTGCGCTGGCGGCAGCAGTGGCTGGAGAATGGCACGCTGCTCTTCCACATCCACCACCAAGACGGGGCCCCCAGCCTGCCCGGCTTCGACCCCACAGATGAGCCCCAGACCGAGTCGGCAGAGGAGGAACTGAGGATCCTCCACATCTCTGTCATGGTATGTGATGGGAAGGCAGCCCCTCTTTAGGTGTCCAGAAGCCTGCAGAAAATATAGGGGCCATATGTTTCCGTATATTTCCCCATCTGGGTCCAGCTGACCTAGGACTGGGAACTGAGCCCACATTTGAAGGCTGGTTAAGATGCCCTGGACACCTCTCTAAACCATACTGCATTCAGGGTGCTTTAACATTGGGCTGTTTTAAACCTCTCCCTTAATTTGCGTTGCTTTACAAATATGTTTGCAAGAGTGCCTTTATTCCTGGGTGCCTCAGGGCTTTGAAGGTCTCAACCACCTTAACCCAGGGTTAATTCACATTGACTTTGTCAGGAGCCCTTTGCCTGGTGGATGATGCCCGGTGTGTGCTGCTCTGGCGCACGGCGGGTGTCACGGTGCCACTGGGCACTGTCACTGCCACTTTTATCAGTGCTGCAGCCCTGTGGATGTGGTTTCACAGCGTGCAATAAACAGGAGCATCCCATGTATGGAGACTGCACAGGTCTCATCCTCCCCCCAGATACGTGGGGATGAGGTTTTTTGCAGTAGAGAAAGGAGGGCAAGGCAGAGACCTGCATGTCGCAGGTGGGTCTGTGGTTTGTTGGTTGGGGTTTTTTGTTATGTTGGAAAAAGTTTGAAGAATCCAACAATTTTTGTGCTGCTGGAAGATAATTAGCTGGAGACAATGTGTTGCCCAGGCTGCAAACTGGCTGTTTAATGGTGCCTACCCTAATGAGAGCGTCAATAGCTCTTCCAGATTGCAGCCCCAGGCCAGGTTTCTCCTCCATCATTTGTGCTTGATTAGTCTCAAGAAAAAAAAGTAATCACTGGCAATGCCAACCCCAAAAACATTTTGCACTGTTACCTTATTTTATTATTATCCTTTCCCATCTGCCTCTGAAGAGGGTGTGTCACTCCAGGAGAGGCTGGCCCCAGTCTGCCACTGCGGTCTTGGTCTTTGTGGCTACCACTGAATCCCAAGATTGAATCCTGAGATAGGAATGCCTGAAACAAAGCTCATTATAGAGCTGATGAAAAGGATGTCTGCAACTCATTGCTGTCATACCAAAATATGTACATACACATCGAATCCTCCCTCTCCCCCTTTTTCTCCATCACTCTCAGCTCTGCTCTGGCAGCATCCTTACACCCTGACAAATGGAGTTTGGCGTTTGTGCCAGGAGTCAGAATCACGTGGAGTTTTCAAGGCTGATTTTCTTTCTTTCCTGTGCGGTTTCCAAGAAAAGGAAGTGTGAGCAAGGGGCTGTATCCATCGTGGCAGCAGACCACATGCGGACCATGAGAGAAGCTCTCCTGCACCCGTCCAGAGCAGAGCTCCTTTGCAGGTGTCATGAGTGCTGGGTGGGGGGAATGAAGGTAGAATGAGATTTCTGTGCTCCCATGAAGGGGAATAGGGTGTCTGAGGTGGTGCCCTGACACCCTCCCATGAGCAGTGTTTGGAGGGGACTCGAGCCCTGGATTTTATCCTTTTTTAGAAACATCTTGATATCTCAAGTGACCACATGCATCTTTTCTTCAGGGGTAGTTTGAGGTCTCAGGCTATCAGGGTAGAAGAAATTCAGTTTCAGTTGAATAACAGGTCATTTCTGAGAGCCCAATCAGCAGTCCTAAACACATGTTTGTCAGCCTGACTTGAGCTCCAGCTTGGTCTCCCTTGTTTATCAACATAGGTGCATGGCAGAGCTCTCTGGTGTTTGGGAGATTTAATGTGCCTACAGAGGGCAGCCAAGGAAAGCCAGAAATGCCCTGGTGTTGTTTCCACCTGCTTGTGACCCCTTATGCATCTGGACCCTTCTCCCAAGAGCCGTGACATGGGTGGCCGTGTCTGGTGAGGATGGGGCTAGCTCCACTTATTTATGAATCAGAGGAGCTCAGAGGGATTTGAACATGATACAGAATTGAGCCCTCACTTTACCACTAAAATCCACAGTATACGCATGTCCGGTCACAAATCCAGTGACAGTTTTCAGCCCCGGTGGGAGATTTCCCATCCTCCCAGCTGCAGGCTCCTGGCTGGAGAGATGCCATGAGCCAGCCAGCCCTCCTCCTCTGCTGGACTGCTTGTCTGCTTAATCACTGGAGCTTTTTTTTTGTTGTTTTTTTTTCTTAAAAAAGGAGTTTTGAAGGAGCCTGGGATGGTGTACTGCAGCTCCATTGTCCTGGGAATGAGAGAGAGTTAAACCATAATGGCCATTAAAGCTTCTTTTCCAGCTGCCTCTCCTGCTTCTCATTCAATAATTCCCGTGATGCTTTATCCTAATGGAGCAGATTATTACTATTATTTTATTTTATCAAGATCACCTGTTGCACAGAAAAGAGAAGGGGGACCAGAGGCACGGATGTACACAGAGCTCTTAGCTGGCTCCGCATGCTATTACTAATATTAGTAATATTATTAACAGTATTATTGGAAGATGGGGCATAGAGTTCAGCTTGGGCTTTTCTCTTACTGCCTCTACCTGTGTGCAGTGATGATGTCTCTGCAGGGGGTGACCTTGGGGACGGTGGTGAGGTGGTGGGGCTTGGTGCAGTTTCTGTGTCTGCCCATGCTGCGCAGGAGCTTTTTCAGTCTCTTCCCCCTGGGCGTTCCCCACACAACGCTTCAGTCATCCGGCTGTCCCGAGCCTTGATCTCCTTTAATCTGTGCTGCGATTTCTCCAGGATACCCTGGGAAAATCTCCCAAGATTGAGAGTGACAGCGCTGAAGCCGGGTGGAAATGGGTCAGAAAAAGTTGGCCGTAGGAGTGTTTGCCTGGAATAAATCTGATCTCTGCTTTCAAAGACGTGTTGCGGGAGAGTGAAACAAAACATGCTCTGCTTTAAATGCTGCTTTTTCATGCCTCAGTGGTGACTTCAAAGCGGGTCCAGCTTCAGGCAGGCTTCAGCTGGGAGTGCTCGGCCAGTGCTGAGGACTCCATGTGCCAGCATCCTCTTATCGGCCTGACCAGGCTCTTTTCACCATTGCCTTTGCTTTTGGCCACACTGGAGGATCCCCGGGGCATTTGCATCCTCGGGGGGTGCCTGGCACTGGTCCCTGGCTGAGCCCTGCTCTTGTTTCTGCCTTCAGGGGGGGATGATCGCTCTGCTGCTCTCCATCCTCTGCCTGGTGATGATCCTCTACACCCGTCGGCGATGGTGCAAGCGGCGCCGGGTGCCACAGCCCCAGAAGAGCGCCAGTGCTGAGGCGGCCAACGAGATCCACTACATCCCCTCGGTGCTGATCGGGGGCCACGGGCGGGAGAGCCTGCGCAACGCCCGCGTGCAGGGCCACAACTCCAGCGGGACGCTCAGCATCCGTGAGACCCCCATCTTGGACGGCTATGAGTACGACATCACGGACCTGCGGCACCACCTCCAGCGCGAGTGCATGAACGGCGGGGAGGACTTCGCCAGCCAGGTCACCCGCACCCTGGACTCGCTGCAGGGCTGCAATGAGAAGGCCAGCATGGACCTCACGCCAGGTGGGGATGGGATACGGGGCATGGGCTGAGCTGGGTGCTTTCCAACCCGTCTGCTCTTCATGGTTCTATGCAAATTTGCCTTGAGTATTTTCCTTGGTTTTCTGTTTTTTTTTGTTGTGAGATGTTGGTGGCATTCTGAAGGTGCTTCATTGCTGGGAGACTTTGTAGCCAGTTGAGAGCAGTCCCTGCTGGGTGAGACATGGCTGGGGCAATGCAGGATGGAGTTTTGAGTGAAAGGGCTGTGGTTCCTATGGCCCGATTGAGAACCAGAATGGTGTCCCCTCCAAGCTACTTCATGGTGACCTCCAAAATTCCTTCATGTATCCCAGGATTTCCAGTGTCTTCTTTAGCTGAGATTTTTTGTAGCAAAATTATACTTGCCATCAGTATGATACAGAGGCAATGCTGTCTTTTGATCACCAATGCAGCTTCTTTGAAGCTTGTAACATACTTGTTTGTTGGCCCTATTACCAACTGCCCCATCCAACTGGAGCCTTCTGAACTGAGACATAGTTTTGGAAGGCCACAGTCTGGACCCTAAATCTCTCCAGGCATTTTATTTACACACCTGGGCATGCAGAAATGACCTGACAGGCTGAATGTTAAATCTCAGCCTTTGGCTAGCTTGGTGGAGGTGTTGGTCTCCTTCAAGCTTTGAGGAAGTCATGAGGGTGCATTGGGGGCAGCTCAACCCATTGGCCATGGCATCCTGGTCACTTCATGCAGATGCTGAAGATGGATCCAAGAAAATCGCTCTCTTTCTCTCTCCTTTTCTAAAATCTTTTCTGCTGAAAGATTTTGCCTTCAATTCTTCCTACTCAGGGAGTGATAATGCCAAGCTATCCCTGATGAACAAGTATAAGGACAACATCATTGCCACCAGCCCTGTGGACTCAAACCACCAGCAGGCCACGCTGCTGTCCCACACCTCCAGCAGCCAGCGCAAGCGCATCAACAACAAAGCACGAGGTAGGGGAGTCCCTGGGGCAGACAGGGTGCTCTGGGCTTCCACCCACCTATGCTCCAGCAGTTCGCTCCTCCTTGGGATGGAAAAATAGGGCCAGTGTTGGGCAAAAGCATGGAAAGAAGGGTTTGGGTAGAGATAGCTGAAAAAGTGGTGTCTGCAAGGATTCAAATGGTGTTGAGTTAAAGATGAAGATGGTGTCAGGCTTGGAAAATATTTTATGATACTCGCATGGCCATGGGGAAAGCTGAAAGGCAATGGGAACCCTGGCAGGGAGCATGGCTGTTCATGGTGGAAAGGGGAGAAGATGCTGTCCCTGCTGTGCCCAGCAGACAGGGCTCCTGATCTTCAAGTCATGGCTTGCCCTGAACCGGTAATGTTGGATGTGGTGCCTTGGGGTCACACAGTGCCAGCCCTGCCGTGACCACGCTTGGTGTCCCCTGCAGCTGGCTCAGCGTTTCTCAACCCTGAGGGGGACTCGGGGACAGAGGCGGACACCGATCCCCAGCTGACCTTCTACACGGACCCCTCCCGGAGCCGGAGGCGCAGCCGAGGTGGGTGCAGGTGTGGAGGCGGGTGGCAAGCCAGGGCTCCTCTTGCCTTGTTTGTTGTTGTCTCTCTGCGTTTGGAAACTTCTCACTGGCAAGCAACGGAAACCCAGGCACAGTTCATGCTGCTGTGGGCAGGCACCAGTCCCCGTTCCCACAGAGTGCTGCCACTGCTCTCTGGCGCAGTTTCTCAGCAGAGGATGAAATATATTCTGATTTTTTTGCTGGAGGCTTCTCCCGAGCTCTGGTGTGTATTAATGAGTAACACGCTTCAAAGCCTAGCCCGTGACCTCCTGTGCTGCTGCTCGGCACGGTGCTGCTGTGGGTTTGCTCCAGCACCATGCGTGTACAATCTGTATGTGCAGCAGAGGATGGGGACAGGCTTGGTCCCCAGGCAGGAGTCTCAGCTCACTGCCCTGCATCCTCCCTTTGGGAGGTTTTCTCCTCTGGGAAGGAGAGTTTGTGTCTGTTTTCCTTCATTGAGCCTTGTTTGATGGATGGTGCCTTGTTTTTCTGGGAGTGGTGGGAGTGGGAGTCATCTCCTGTGCTGGGGGCTGGGAGGTTGGTTTGGGCTTTGTCTCTGCAGGGAATAGCTCAGCCTCCAGCCAGCTTTTGCGACTCAGGTTCTTCAATTGAGAGACTTAAAGTCAAAGACCTGCACACCCTAAGGAGTTAGGGCTCTCCAGTGCTTTTTCAAAGGCATCCAGGAGCCTGTTGTCATGGCAAAATTAACCTGAGAGAAGTGCCGTGAAGAAGGAGGGGAGGAAAAAAGTGAAATTGCATTTACCTTTCTTCTCCTCAGTATCTCTGTTCTGCTTTGAAGTTTTGCTGCTGCAAAGGTCTCAGCATGCTGCAGTGCAGGGGTGCAGGAGAGAAACTCGCAGAGAGACCTTCTCCCAGAAGACCCCTGCTGCAGCAGGTGGAAGGGAGGGTCCCACAGCAAAGGCTGCTTCATTCTCTTGAAAATCCAGAGCAATTCAGCTTGATTGGATTGGTGCTGGATTTCCAGTGAGCTGGGCATGGTCTCTGCACCCTGAGATCTCCTGGCTGCACCCCAAGATCTTCCTGGGTCCCCCAAGTTTGACTTTGCTTTAATTATTTTCAGTGGGGTCCCCTCGAAGCCCTGTTAACAAGACCACATTGACCCTCATCAGTGTGACGAGCTGTGTCATCAGCCTTGTATGCTCCTCCCACATGAACTGCCCCCTTGTTGTCAAGATCACCCTCCACGTCCCTGAGCACCTCATTGCTGATGGTGAGCACGCCACAGCCTTACCCACTCCTCCTGACCCATTCTGTAAGCTGTGATGGAGGAGAGGAGAGAATGATGGAGGGGACAGATGCAAGATGGGTACAGGATGGAGGGAACAGGCGTAGGACAGAGGGTACCGGTATACATGGGGGATGGGTGCAGGACAGAGGGGATGGGCGCAGGACTTGGGGGACCTTTGTGAGATGGAAGGGTCAGGTAAGGGAGGGAATGGACCATCATGGAATGAAGGACATCAGTATGGGACAGAGGGGACAGGTGTGAGACTGAGGGGATGGGTGTGGGATGGAGGTGGCGGTAGCGGGACAGAAGGGACAGGCACAAGATGGAGGGGGCTGTCACAGGATTGGAGGAGACAGGCATGGACAAAGGGGGCTATCATAGGGCAGAGGGGATGAGCACTGGAACAGAGGATTTGCTGTGGAACAGACAGGGCTATAGAGTGAACCGTCATGGGATGGAGGGGATGGCAGTGGGTTGCCACTGCTGACTCCCCTCTTGGTGGCAGGGAGCCGGTTCATCCTGCTGGAGGGGAGCCAGCTGGATGCCAGTGACTGGCTGAACCCGGCGCAGGTCGTTCTCTTCTCCCAGCAAAACTCCAGTGGGCCCTGGGCCCTGGACCTCTGTGCCCGGCGCCTCCTGGACCCCTGCGAACATCAGTGTGATCCTGAGACCGGTAGGTGGTCAGATGGTTGCAATGGGTTTAGGAGCTCATCTCTGTCTGCTCAGCCTAGCTTCAGTGGGAAGATGCTTTCTTGCCTTGCTCCACGTGAGATAATGAAGCTGCTGGGTGCCCCATGTGGCTGCAGGCTGGGTTTGGCAGGGAAGCACGTGGAAAGTCTTGTCCTTCCAAGACCCTCATGTCCTCCCCTTTCTCCATAGGTGAGTGTCTCTGCTACGAAGGTTACATGAAGGACCCTGTGCATAAGCATCTCTGCATCCGGAATGAGTGGGGAACGAACCAGGGGTGAGTGTACCTGACACAGCATGCCCATGCTTGGACCATCCACACAGGAGCTGCTGGGCTTCAACAGCAGCATAGTAAGGCTGTGGCAAATCCTCTTGGGTAAAAGAGGCATCTTGGTGAATCATAAAGTCAGTGCTTGGCTGACCTCTGCAGCAGGACTGCAAGAGGCAAGGATTTCTAGTCTTTCAACTAATCAGAGGTGATGTGGAAGAGGCCATGGCTAGATTTCAGAGTAAACACCCCCTAAAGAAGATCAAGGCTGCTCCTCTTCCCTTTGCTGGCACTCTCTTCAGCATCTTGCATTTTGTGGGGTTTCAGTTTGGGTGTATGAGGTGTCAGAGGGAGGCTGAGGTTGGGCTGTGGGCCCTAGTGGAGGAGGGAGGCCTCAGGTTAGGGATGCCCTATTGAAAATTGGGCAAATCAGATGCTTCAGTGCCATGGCCTGAGGGAACAGAGCAGTCACTGCTCCACAGCTTTACACCTCTGAAAGTGCAAAGGAATTTCTTCTGATGTTTCAGCAGCAATTTGGGGGGGGATCCCAAATGTTCCCATCTCTCTGTGACCTTGAGCATGCTTCTGATGGCTCTTAACACTCATGAGTCTCTGATATGCAGATGGAGACTTCCAGAGATGGCTGGAGGTAGAAAGACAAGCTGGTGCAGAAAGCCAGGACACCCCCAAACTCGGAGGTCCCATGTGCATTGGCACCTTCCTTCAACTCCATTTTTCCTCCCCTCATCTTGCTATGCTGCAGCTGGATTTGTGGCAGCCCTGCATGTGGCAGGATGCCCTCTCTGAAGTCATTAGTCTTCACAGTGGGGAGAGAAAAATCATCAAAGGCTGGGCTTGGCAGCACCCGCACTGTACTGCTGTGCTGGAGGATGGCAGCCGTGGGGGGCTGCCCGTGCTGGCTGGCCCTGCCTGCAATCCTGTTCACTGGGGCCTGGGGAGAGCACCACTGCTCTGTATCCGTTTTAAAAGCAATTTAGCAATTGAACCCCATGTGGAGCACCAGCCAGCAGCAGGAGACAAGGGCCACTGTTGTTGTGGGTGCTCTGAGCCCAGCTGGGACAGGGCAATGCTCATGACGCAGGTGGCCGCATGCTGGGGCTGTGCTGAGTGGTGCGGTCAGGGTTCCCAAACCGCAGCTGGGAAAATACAGGCAGAAATACAGCTTCCTGCCCTGTTCATCGCCAGGGGATAAGTGTCTGACAGGGATGTCCTCAGCTCCTCTGTGCCCATCTAATAAGAATCACTGAGTGATGGTGGCTGGGGCATGTGAGGGTGTATTCCTCCTGCCAGGGACTTGTCCATTTTGGGATGTGTTTGGTTTAGGAATGGGTTAGAAAGAGCCCACAGGCACCCACAACCACACATGACTTTGATGCCAGCCTGTGCCTCTGTCAGAGCTACCAGCAGTGTGCTGAACCCACCACCCTGCAAAAAGCAAGAAGGCAAATTACTTTGTTGGGGCAGGTAGTAAAAATGGATAAGCCCTGTGGAGAAGAATTTGCTTCCTTCCCGTTTGCTTTTCCTTTGCTCCTGGGTGTGTGACTGCAGCTTCACACTTTTCCTCCCATGCACATTGCTCTTCTGTTAGCTTCTTCCTGACCTAGCTGCTCTGTTCTCTAAAGGGAGAGAGCTTTCAGTTGAATTGGAGAAAAAAATATAGGTGGTAACAAGCAGGAGAGAAGCCAAGGGGAAGAAGGACAAATTAATTCCTGAAGCCCTCTGGACCTGTTCTCAGATCCAGACCCAGCTGTAGTCTTAGCAATGCCACTCTGAAAGATGCCTAGGACCCACTCTCTTCCTTTGGGGAATTTAGGGCCACTTTTCAGACACAGCTATATCCCAGTGTCTCCATAAGAGCCTTCTCCATGTTCATGCTTGAGCTTCTGCTTTCCTTCTGCAGCCTACTTGGCTAGGATACATGTTGCCTTGGGTCTCTCCTTATATGCCAAAGTTAGCTATGACAAATTGTATGCTGTATTTCCAACATCCTTTTCTGTTTTGGGCAGAGAAACCTAGCAGATCTCATTTCCCCCAAGGTGCAACACAGCCCTAGACTATGATGGGGCTGCTGAAGTCCTCCTGCCCTTCTCTGGGCTCTCAAGAAGGCTTTGACACTGCGGTGTCAGAGCTTTTTCAATGCCACCCTTTGAGAGCTCCTCTCTTGAACTGTTTGAAGCCAGGGTAATTTTGTGTTTCTTCCTTGAACTTGGCAGATTTTTGTTTCAGAAAATGGCAGCAGCTGAAACCACACTTAACTGTCCCTGCTGCAGCTTCCACTATTTATAGGGGCTCTTGAAAGCGTGTCCACCCTAAGCATTGTGAAGGCCAGCTTGATGTTTAATGAGGGTTTTTTTCTGCACTGCAATCTGTTCCTGATGTCCAAGGGCTATTTGGTGCAGCTCTGTCAGCAAGGGCTTGTGATGGTGGAAGTATCTTCTACCTGTCCCCTTGGACCCCTGGCCTCCCCGGGGTCATGTCTCTCTCTCATGTCCAGCATCTTGTCAGAGCCCCTATAACTGAAGAACTTGTAACTTTAACCTGGTATTTATGTTTTTTTTTGGGTGGAGGCTGAGCTACCAGGCCGTGCTGTCTTTTGTTGCACTCCAGCTCACTCCAAACTCTAGCCTAAAAAGGGCTGTTCACTGGCTCACCTGATAGAGATGTTTGCAAATCCCCCATCTCAGGGCAAGATCAACTGTGCCTGAATTGTTTCTGACCATTGTTTCTCCAATATACTCCTAACTCCTCCAATATTGGAGCGATCTGCTGCAGCTGTGGGTAGCACAAGCCAGGCGGCAAGTCAGTCCCCAGAGAAGCCACGCAGCTCTTAGCAAAGGGGAAGTCAGTAAAGCAGGAACAGTGGGCTCTGCAGATCCTTCTGTGTGTGCTTGGGATCAACATGATCTGGTTATGACCTCTTTTGCTTTCCTAGGGTGGCATTTTTATCTGAAAACTCATTCCAACCCTTTTGTTTAGATAGGTTTGCCATTGGTTTGTTTTATTTACAGTGATTACGGGTTGACTTGGAGTCTGTTCACTCAGCAGCATCTAATTTTGCTCATGAAGGTGAGCTCCTGTTTGAACTTTATTGGTGATGGCAGCAAGGCTTTGTGTGTTGTGTGTATTTTGGGTACCATGCTGAGATCCATGCCTCTGTGGTACATCTTTTGCCCAACACATCCGGTCCCTAAATCTTCATCGATTTTTCAAAAGTAAGACATTTTTGATCATGGGTAGCAGATACATTTGATCAGCTGCTTTTTTTGTGCTTCTCTTCATCTGTTTTAAACAAACCTGGCTGTTGCTGCTTGTGTGTTCACAGTCTGTCTTCCTACTTTGATATGCATTGTTAATTAGCTGCTTTTCCGCTCTTAACACTAACATTTCCCAAGTAGGATGCAGTTTCCAGCAATCCAGCCAATCCTGCCTTGTCTTTGCTCATCAAACCCAGTTCCTGCGGTTACTTTGCGGTATGACTTGACCAAAAGTCAAATCAGCTCATTCTGCCTTTAGTTAATGAACTGTTACCTGCCCTCATTTGTACTTCATCTCAGCCCTTAGATCAATCCTATGATGGCCCATGGCTTTCCCATCCCCATGTGCTGTTCTTGCCTGGATGCCCTTTTCAGACACCCGATGAGATTTAAGGTGGTCTGCATTTAAGAGGTCTTTATCAATGTGCCCTTTCAACTTGTAGCGGGCTTTACCCCAGCATGGTGAGGCTTTAGGTCACTTTAAGGCAATTTAGTGAACGTGTTTGGCTGGGTACTCTCTTCCTCTTCTAGCAGCTGGCAAGTGGTGGCCACCACAGCCTTCCTCCCATGCAGGACAAGTTACCCCTTTCTCCACCCTGCATCCTTGCAGCCATTTTTCCCCACACAAGATCTGAATTAGCGTGATGGCCTGTGCCCTGTGTGCCCACCTGCCCTCCCTGGGGTGTCTCTTATGCATGCAGTTATTTCCCTCCCTGGCTGTACACCTGCTCCTCCTGTACCATTCCCATGAACTACCCTCTCCCCACCCCACAAAGGAGCCAGGGAAGCACTGAAGTGACAAGGAAAGCACTTTTTCTGCTTAAAGTCTTTTTTTCCCCCTTCTTCTCATTTTTCCCACCCCTTTTTTCTGTTTTTTCCCTCTGCCTCTCTCCATCCCCTGCTGTGCGCCTCGGCTTTGCGAGCTTAAAGGACGTCCAGATAAAAAGCTCCTCTTTCTTTCAGATCCTTTCACCAAACCACCCATCCGCCTCCTCCTCCCACCCCATTCTGCTTGCAGATTTATGGGCAGCCCAGGGAGAAAGTGCCAGCATTAGCATTTTTAATAAAGAGCTGCTTGGAAGGGATGGCAGCGGGTGGGGAGGTGGGAAGGGGAGAGGCATCGGCAGCTGAAGCCTGAGCAAAGCCGTTGCAAAGCAAATTCAGAGAGGAGCAGGGATGGGCATCACCAGTGGTAGAAGTTGGCAGCTCGGTGCTATCTGCCTTCTGCTTGTCCCCCATCGGGGTAGTGTAGGCTCTTCATAGGTCCCCACCTTGGTCATTGTGGAAACCCACTGGGGCTGCAGGAGGGGTGCCAGTGCTGCTGGGATGCTTCTTGTCTTTTCACCCTGGGTTTGAACCCCTGAGCTGCCAGTGAAGGGATATGGTGAGTGTCATTATGTGCACCACTTGCTCCCAGCTCACACTTGAAGCTGGTGTTCTGATGCCATGATGGAGCTGGGCATGGCCATCCTCATGCTGCTTGCTTTGTGGAACCCCCCAGGAGCACAGGGAGTCAGGGAATTAGACACAAAGTCACATATTTCAGTGTAATAACAGTAAATTACCTTCTTCTCCACCGGTATTTCAGCCACGCTCGCATGCAGCTACTTCTCAGAGTCTTCTGCAAAGACTCTCTCCTGCAGCCATTCTGACCTCCCTGCCAGCTCCTCTCAAACCAGCTGCTCCAGGTTAGCTCAGTGTGGTCACAGGCAGTGGGCTTTGATTGCTCGTCCCACCCCTCTTATTTAGAAGAGCTTTGCAGGGAGCAAAGACTGGCAGGAGCACAGTTCTCAGTGCTGGAAGTCAGTGTGGCCTTGTCCTCTTGGGGCCGCAATTCAAGTGTGGCTGGGGTCCTGTTGAGGTTGGGAAGAGCATCACCAGCAACACTAGGTTTGGTGGTATTTTGGGAGCTTCCACTCAAGACCAAAGCGAAAGCAAAGCACAGCTGATGGTCCTGCTGGAAAAAATCAGAGGCCTGAAGATCATTCCAGGAATACACTGACAGCCCTTTGGCCATAGGAACTAGCTGGCTGAGTGTGGAGAGTTTGTTGTTTCTCAACTGCCCTGGTGATCCCCTATTTTGTTGTTTCAGATGCCTGCCTACCTTAATGCCAAGGCTTGCAGGGAGCTGAGAGCTGTAATTTCTGGCTCGTTTAATCCAACCTGGTCAGGCACAGAGCAGCTTCTGATCAGTCCTGCTTTCTTTTGAGCTCTGACGGCCATGCAATCAAAATACCTGCCAAAAGCAACAAAAACCAAAGCAGGGATGTATCTCTAGTGATCACAAAATGCAGGGAAAGAGTCAGCTGTTTGAGCACATGTGCGTGCACAGGAGATGAAGGAAGGGGATAACAGAGTGACAGAGGCACAGGGGACAAGAGAGAGTGATGGAGATGGTGAGGTGTCCCTGGAGGAGGAGATCTCGCCCCATTCTCTGCAGCAGAAGGCACAAGTCAGCAAGGGAGTGTGGGTGGAAATGTCAGTGCTGAGCTCCTGGAGAGCTTCCTTGCAGATGAAGATAGACAAGTGCCTCTTCTTGAGCTGGAGGTCTTGCATGGAGACTGTTTCCAGGCTTACCTCATAAGGTACCATGTCCTTGCAAGCTCAGTGGTGCCTACAGCATTGGTTGTCTCCTGCCATGTAGGCACATAGCTAAAGGCTGAACATTCCTTTTAGTAGGCCTTTTGTGACCCCAACTAGAGGCAAAGTGGGGAAGGCTGGAGAGCTGCCATGTGGTATCTTCCTGCAGCATGGAAACCTTTCTCAGCTCAAAGCATCATCACACAAATTTTAGTCACAGATGGAAATTGCGCCCTGGGTGGATGCAACATGGCCTGGGCTGACTTCCATCTCCCAGGCAGGTGCAAACCCACCTACAGTGTGTCCCAGATGTGTTGGCATCCATTGGCTGCCAGATGTGCCATCCGGCAGAGGTCCAGCAGCCACCACACCTCTGCAGTGCCTGTCCTGTGTTGAGCTCTGCTGCAAGCCAAGAGCAGCTCTTCATAACTGCTTTTCTACCCAAGTCACTGTGGAACAATACCTTGCCTCTGCTTTTGTTCCTTGCCTGGCGTGCTCCTGAGAAGCAAGAATAAAACCCATCTGTGGGAGCACTGGAAGGCGGAGGCGTGTGGCATTCACAGTGTCGTCGAGACGCAAGGAGCGCATCGCTCTCTGACTGGAGCTGACCTCATTCAGGTCAATCCGATCTGGGGGCTGAATGTAATCCCCTTCTCCCAGCCGACCGGATGGGAAAATGGCATTGTATCCCAGCAAGGAAATGAGACGTGCACTGTAATCCTGCAATCAGGATTTTTTTTCTTTTTTTTTTTTGTCCTTGCTGAAATAACTTCAGATTAGAAATTAAAGTGCTTGTGCAGAAGAGCTGTAATTGCCTCTGGAGAAAATCCTCAGGCTTGTCAGCAGCACCTGATACTCTCACCCTGAATTTTAACAGCAGTGATGCAATGGGATGGAAAATCTTTCCCTCCCCAGATCTGAGCTCTTGCAAAGAGAATTTTGAGCTTTAGCTTTTGGGAGCGGTGTTTGTGCTGTCTAATTCAAAACCCGCTACAGTTAGTCCGGGTGCCTCCCTTGTTCTGCCATGTCAGCCTTGCTCTGCAAGTGGTGCTCTGCCAGTGGGGCTTTGCTGCTGGGGATGCAGAGCACAAGGTGTCATGGCCATGGGTGTCCCACCAAAGGGCACCGGCCACTGAATCATGATTGCACGTTACGCTGTACTACCTAGGGCAGCAGGGATGGAGGAGATGGGACCATCCTGCTTGGCTGCAAGCTTCCAGCTTGTCTTCCAGACCCATTTTCAGAGTCTCACAGCGGCTGAGGCTTCCTCAGTTCCCCTCCTGAAACAATGAAATCCAAGGGGAATAAGGAAGGTGGTGAAGCTGTGGCCCCAGACCTCACATGCTCCCTTGCAAAATCCTCACAGAGAGAGAATTCAGCTGTGGTTTAGTTCTTTTTGCAATTCGATGGCTGTGACACCAATCCCTAAATGAGGGCTGGGCAGGTGGTACCTGAGCATGCAGAAGCGTAATGCTTATGGATGTGGGGGCAATTGGAATGCACTATGTCCCAAAATAATGGGTGTGATACACCACTGACATGTTGGCAGATTGGGGCTGGGGTGAGGATCTGATGTTGTAAGAATCCCAAAATCAACATCTTGGAGGTGGGGCTATTTTATCACCTTGTCCTGGCTTGGTTTGAGTCATCTCATCCCAGGACCCCTCTGCACAAGAGCTAGGGGCTAAGCAGGGGAAGTGATGTGAGTGCAGCAGGGGCAATGCCAGTGTGATGTTTCTGGGTTTCTCTTCTAGGCCTTGGCCATACACCATCTTCCAGCGTGGCTTTGACTTGGTGCTGGGCGAGCAGCCATCCGACAAGATTTTTCGGTAAGTGGTAAAGGCAACCTGGTCAGCACATTTTGGGGCTCAAAGATATGACAGAGGGCATACGGGCAGGCTGGTACCCCAGCTGGTACGGCTGAACACAGCTGTCCTGTGCCACCTCCTGGGGACATGCGAGCATGGCTGGGAAGGTCCTACTACAGCTGCCATGTGGGATGCTGGATGCCCAGCAGTCCGTTCCTCTTCTCCGTTCCTGACAAGAAAAAGGTTTTAGCTCTGAAGGAGGACTTCTACCAAAAAGGGAAGTGTCTTTTTTTTTTTTTTTTTAAATTACCTAAATTACCTGTGCTTTTGAGGGGTCATTTGGGTGCAGAGGAGCCACACCACTGTGTGTCTGACACAACCCATCTGTCTTTGCTTGGGCTGGCATTCCTGCAAGGCAGGGTGGAGCTTCAAGGGCTTGGATTTGGGTAGAGGCAGCTCTCTGAACTTGGCATTTCACTCCATGCCAGCCTTTGCTGCTTTCGCTGTCAGGTTCACCTATACCCTGGGGGAAGGTATGTGGCTGCCTCTGAGCAAGAGCTTTGTCATCCCACCAGCTGAGCTGGCCATCAATCCCTCCGCCAAGTGCAAGACCGACATGACAGTCATGGAGGATGCAGTGGAGGTCAGGTAGGTGCAATGGTGGGGAGAGGTTTTTAGGATACATTTCAAGCAAACAAATCGGCAGTGTGTCCTTAGAGTGAGAAGACCAACTCAAAGCATGTGAGGGTTGATGAGCGCTGGGGCCCCAATCCCACACTTTGCAGGTGCAAATTAGCATGTGCTTTGATCTGCCCCATTTAGTGCCTGCAAAGCTGAGCTTTCAGAGGTAGCTGTCATTATCTCAGTAACTCCTGGCTCCCTCTAAAAGCTTGGCTGCCATTCTATTCACTGTCAGCCTGAGGGGGACCTGAGCTCTAGAAAACCCCACACAGCAGCCGCGGTCATGCACATGTTTGCAACATTTCATCGGAGCTGTGACACTCCTCCTCCTCCTCGCAGGGAAGAGCTGATGACCTCCTCCTCCTTCGACAGCCTGGAGGTCCTCCTTGATTCCTTTGGCCCCGTCCGTGACTGCTCCCGGGACAATGGGGGCTGCAGCAAGAACTTCCGCTGCATCTCAGACCGCAAGCTGGATTCAACAGGCTGTGTGGTGCGTGGTCCCCTGGGGATCTGCAGATCTCCTTCAGTGTGAACAGGGAGTGGGAGAGTGGAAGGGGAAAGGATGCATCTTTCCTCCTTTGCCATTGCTTCAGGATGGTTATTTGGGGGTTCTGCAACAAGAAGAGATGTTTCTGGGCTGACCTTGCTGCACACATGCACAAAAAGAGTGGGATCTCATCTGCTTGCTGGCTCTCTGGGAGGTCCCACATCACTCACACATGTACCCTATCCCCAAAACAGCACAGCTGCTTTGCTCTGCAGAGAAAATGTGTGCCCCAAAATGGAGGCGTTTGTGGGGCTGGGGAATCCTGCTGTGATGCCACCGGAGCTGGACATCAGGGTGAAGGCTGTGAGTATGGGGCACAGGGTGGGCTTGGAAAGCGCAGCATTACTTTGGTGTTCACTGAAGATGGGTGCTGGTAAGCAGGCTTGATTCCAGCACATTACTTTGGTATAGAGCAGCTTGGGTGGCTCCCATCCCAGGGTTTGCACTCCCCAGGGCTGCAAATAGGCTTCTGTGCAGGAGGTATATCTGCAGTGGTGGGCAGTGTTGCAGCCACCCATCCTGCAGCCCCTGAGCACTTCTCAGGCTGCGATTTCCAATGGAGAGCAGTGCCGGAGCCCTCCCCTCTGCTCCAGCCCCTGGGCCAGACTACTTGCTCAGGGACTTTACCTCTTGCTTCTCCCACCCCTGCCAGTGCCCGACAGGACTGAGCCCCATGAAGGATGGCACAGGCTGCTATGACCGTCATGTTGGCGTGGACTGCTCGGATGGCTTCAACGGCGGCTGTGAGCAGCTGTGCCTGCAGCAGATGGTCCCCCTGCCTGACGACCCCCTGCTCTACAACATCCTCATGTTCTGCGGGTGAGTGACCCATCGCTGCCCCAGCCATTTGGACACTCCTAAAGTGCTGCTGTACTTTGCTGCTGCCACTCTGAGCTCATAGCATTGGGAGGGAGGGTCTCCTCTGTTCCAAATGTCCCTGCTGGGGTGGCCCCGTTCCCCACCGGTGGAGGCTGCAGCTGATGATGGACCCCTGTGCTGGCTTCCCAGGTGCATTGAGGACTACAAGCTGGGCACAGATGGGAGGTCATGCCAGCTCATCTCGGAGTCGTGCCCTGAGGTGGGGGACTGTGGCGAGCCCCGCGAGCTGCCCATGAACCAGACGCTATTTGGGGAGATCTTCTATGGCTACAACAACCACTCCAAGGAGGTGGCTGCAGGACAGGTGCTCAAAGGGACGTTCAGGTGAGCTGGGGATGTGGGGAGGTGACCCCAGCAGGGTCAGACCTCTCCATCCTCTCAAGAAGGCAGCATGGGAAGCAGCGTGGGGCTGGACCTTAGCAGACTGCCTGATCCATCCATGTCTGACCAATCTTTGTGGGAGGTGGAGGGGCCAGTGGGCAGGTCATATCTGAAGCTTTCTGTCAGAGTAAACATCTTTGTAACCTGTGCCCAAAGGAAAGACTTGTTGTTGAGTGCCTTTATGGCATTGGTCACTGGCTGGTGGGGATGATCCCCAGCAGCTGCCCTGTTTTCCAGCCCTATCCTCCTCTCTGCAACTTCCAGGCAGAACAACTTTGCCCGTGGCCTGGAGCAGCAGCTGCCAGATGGGCTGGTGGTGGCCACAGTACCCCTGGAGAACCAGTGCCAAGAGGAGCTCTCTGACCCCATGCCCGATCCTGAATTCCTCACTGGTGAGTATGTCTGGCCGGACCTACACTCTCCCAACAGGGCAGATGTTGGTGTGGATGGCTTCAGCACCTAACCCTCTCAGGGGATATATCTAGTCTGGCTTTAGCATCCTGTGCTCACTTGCAGCAGCAGGGCTTAAGAGGAAAGCATTAAAAGCAAAGGAGAGGGAGAGGCTGCAGATTCATGGTGTGGTGTAAGACCTCAAGTGTCCATTGGATATTTGGAGTATTTGCAAAAAGATTTTTTTTTTTTTTAATTCAAGGCAAACAAGTTTTCCAAATATCTTTCCAAAAGTATTTCCAAATCAAGAACCCTTTGTCATATATGATAATATATGCTTCATATATAATGAAGCATTCAAAACCTGCCTCAAGCAAACCAGAATGTCTTGGTTTGTCCTGCCAGAGCATCACGGGCCATGAGCAACAGGATTATAATGGATTTGTACACAGCCTTCAAGGATTTACCCTTCTTCCACCAAGTTGCCAGCACTGATGAATAGCCTTTGTTTCCTTGGTGTTTGTAGCCATTGGCTGAAATGGCCAAGGGCACTGGGCAGCTACTAAAAGAAAGGTGTAGATAGTAAGGTTATTTTGGAAGGTGTCTGCAGGGTGGTATTTTACAAGACCTTGTGAATTCGCTTCATTTGGCAGGACTCCTAGGAGGGTTTTGGGGAGCATCTGTGGGCTGCACCCAGGGTGCAATGGGTGCTGGTTCCCCCAACAGCACATGGCAATGTAGGTGTGTGTGCAGGCAGATGCAGGCAGGGAGGAGGGTGGCAGTGGGTCTGCAGACCTGAGATACCCCAAGAGAGCTGTGCCTGGTGGGTCACTCCTGCAGCCATGGGGATATTCAGCCCTGCCTGGAAGTGATAGAGGACACCTGCCTCTACATGGGGCCCTGCTGCCCTTGACGTGATTACACGGTTGTAAGGAAGGCACTGCCGCTGTGGACTCAGCATCAGAGCAGGGTTATGAGACTGGGACTCCTCTGGCAATTATGCCAGGGGGGCAGAAGCCAGTAAATTATCCTATTAATTTCCCACTGCTCTGCTGGCTCTTTGTGCCTGATTTAAAAAAAAAAAAAAAGAAAAGAAAAGAAAAAAAGGGAAAATTAGTAAAATCTTCTCTGCTTGTCAGTGAGCAGGTCTGGATATTGCTGTGAATACACAAGAGGCAGAGCTGCTGAATAAGGAAGGGCTGGTTTTGCATAAACACTTTGCAGGGAAGAGCAAGGCTTTGAAGGTGTGTTGGTAGCAGCCAGCACCGAAGGGAGAGGCACTGGAAGGCAAAAGATCTTATCCTCCTTATTCTCTGCCTTCATTTGTTGTTATGGAGCGGAGGATGCCTGTTATCCTCCTGAACTCCTGCTGTGAGGCTGGTTAGCAGCAGAGTTTGCTGCTTTGCTGTCAAGTGGAGGCGAGCCGTGATGGCTGTACAGCAGTGGAGCTGTGAGGGAGGAGGTAGCTGTGTCCAGGCATCCTGCTTAGCACACAAGGGTTGTTCTGATCACCAAAATCAGAGCCATGAGCACCCTTCAATTCAATTTCTGGGACTTTGGCCAAGGCTCGGTGGCCTCTGTCCCTCTGCTCATGGAAGCTGAGCTGCTGCATGCCTTGGCCTGTTCTCTGGGCAGTGGCTGCCCAGCCCTAGTCTCCATGAATTTCTTGTTCCCATAATGCATAGTTAAATGGATGGAGACTGGGATGTCTTTGCCTCTAGAAGGAGAAACTTCAGGTCCTGCTCAGCTCCAGCGCTGCCATAGTGTCCTGAGGGAGCACGAGCATTGACAGGTGTGCAGTTTTCCCTGTATGTGTGTCTCCTGTTCGGCTCAGTACTGGACAAAGGGGACCTATGGCCTCTTGGTTGGCCACACTTGGGCACACACGGCATGACAGTGACCGTTCCCAGGCCTGCAGACAGCTCATTAAAAAGGGTAACTCTCATTAGTGAAATAATTAACACACCTGGGCAGGACTCAGGAGCGGGCACTGGAAAGGAAGCAGAAGGGGGGTACAGGAAGAGGCTCATTATCTTCTGACACAGAGCCCCTAGTCACAGGGTGAAATGAGCCCACGTGTCTTCCTTCAAAGCCATGGTTTTAATTGCCAGGGAGCAGCTGACCCTCTGCTCTGAATGCCTCACCCCCTCCTGAGGGGGATGTGGTGTGTGCACCGTCCTTTTCCCCAGCTTCTTTCCACCCCACTGGCAGCATTGCCCCAGGCACAGCACAAGGGGCTGCGGCCATCCCCATGGTAAGACATCCCTGGGCAGTGGCTCTGAGCCCCTGTGTCTTTTCTCTGGCAGGGATGGTGAACTTCAGTGAGGTGTCTGGGTACCCCCTTTTGCAGCACTGGAAGGTGCAGTCTGTCATGTACCATGTCCGGCTCAACCAGATGACCATCTCCCAGTGTAAGTGTATGGGGATAAGGGGAAGAAGTGAAGAAGGGGTGGTGGGCTCGGAGGTTGGCTCCCCGTTGCAAGTGTGCAGGGAGGTGGCAAGGGCTTAGGGTTCTCTGGGATCTGAACATCTCCTCCCATCTCCTTCCCAGCCTTTAGCAATGCACTCCACTCTCTGGATGGGGCCACCTCCCGTGGAGATTTCATGGCACTGCTGGACCAGTTTGGCAATCATTACATCCAGGAGGCAGTGTATGGCTTTGAGGAGTCCTGCTCCATCTGGTATCCCAACAAGCAGGTCCAGAGGCAGCTTTGGCTGGAGTATGAGGACATCAGCAAAGGTAAGAGCCCTGCTTGTCCTAAGGAAGGGTCTGTACAGCCACCCCATGGGAGGGAGAAGCATAGCAGGGAAAGTGCCTATTTCATGTCAGGGCTGTGTCCCATCTCTTTTTCTTATTTGCACCCTTTGAAGCTGGCGAAAGACCTATATACTGCAGCAGCATTAGTCTGGGCCAGAAAGGAAGATAAATACTACATCCCCAGGGAGATGGAAGATGAATACACTAATCCCACCAAGCCGTCCTGCCTGGTTCTGGACTTAACTGTTATTTGTCTTTAATCCTGTTACTTCCTTCCTTTTGTCTCTGCCATATCTGCTCTCTTCCACTTGCATCCCATGGCAAGTGGAAGACTTTTCTCCTTTGAATGTGTTTTCATCTCCAGGGCTATCAGCAATGTGCTTTTAGTGTGTGGAAAACAGTTACGAAGTGGAAGGTTCCCCATGGTGCCGAGGGCATCTGGCACTGCTGCACCTCATCTGGTGCCCTCGGCAAAGTGAGGTGTGAAGGATCTGTGGTGGAAGGGTTTTTGCAGGGAGGTGATGGCTGGTTTGGATGCACGTTTTCCAAGAGCAGAGGCAGCCTAATGTCTGCCTGCTGCCAGCAGGACCACAGCATCTCTTGTGCTGGCCTCTGCAAAGCTGCCTGCAGGCATTTTGCTGCCTGTGCTGGGGATGTTGGGTTGCACCACCTAGGTTTGTGCAGCAAACAGGAGCCGGCTCCCAAGCCCAGACAGGGGGATGCTGAGTGGAGATGCTGCTTTTTAGGTGACCTTGGTTTGTTGACCCCTGCCCATGAGCTCCCAGGTGCAGGCAGCTCACATGGAGCTCACAGGCACCATGAGTACCACATCGTTTCCATCATGAAGCTTCATAATTCTCAGTATTGGCACCAGCTCACAGTGCTGCTCTTGCTGTGCCCTGGCCACAGAGACATTTGTTTTCTCTCCAAGGGCTCTTATGTGGGGAAGGCTTCTTAGACCTGCAGCCTGGACATCTTCCCAAGCCCACCTGTGAGAGTACAGACCCATTGCTGTTTTGCTGTGGGCTGTCTCCAGATGTAGCATCTTTTGATTGCAAGTGCTTTTTTTTTTTTCCTGCAATTTCCTCCTCTTTGATTTTCCTGCTTGGAGGCTTTTCAGGTCTGGCAGTCTCCTTCCACCCACAATATCGCGTTTCGTTTTCACTCTGGCACCTGCCACTTTCTCTCCTTTGCTCTTTGTTTGCAAACGTCAGGAGCTGGATATTGATTGAGAAATTGCAAGAGACAAATCATTCCTTGGCTCCTCTGCTTTCCCTCGGTGCCTGCTAAGTTGCAATTCACAGCCAGCCCAAAGCGATCCATTTCCAGCTTCCTGGGGAGGGGAGGGGGGGGCAGAGTAATGCTCTGGTACCCCAGGTTTTGTTCAACAGCCTTGTTTTCTTTGCAGGAGCCTTGAGGATAGGCTAGTGCTAGCCCTCTTCTCAGTAAGCCTTTGAAATAGGAAGGTTTTCCTGTTGAGCCATGGATGTGCTCTCGGGCAGCTCTCCACAGCAGCCAGCCTGCACCAAGCCACCACTGCTGATGCTCTGAACCTCTTCCAGGAGGGAGGCTTTGCCTGGGGATCCTTCAGCTTCCTCTGACCCCACTGACCATCAACAGTAGTCCCTCTGGGCCCCTCTTTCTTCAGTGTAGACCCAAAGACATCCTTTGGCAGGGGTTTTGGGTGAAGAGCACTGCTCCCCACATGGCAAAGCTCACAGCAGCAGAGTGATGCTAGCCAGGGCAGCGATGAGCAGATCCTACCTACTTGACTGCTGTGCCAGGACTTTTCCCCTTGTGTCAAATTATTTCTGCTATGGGAGTTCTAAAGAAAAGTCCACCAAATGCTGGGTCTGGCTCACTGCCCTATGTGATGTGGACACAGTGGCATCAGCCATTAGGCACCTTTGCGTGGAACTGTGAAAAGCATAGACCATGGTGATGCTTTCCTGGTGCAAATCTTTGTTCTGAGCCTGTTGGGTTGCAGGGTCAGCAGGGCAGGACCTGCAGATACTCCCCCATACACACGGGGCAGAAGGTAAACAAGCCTTTAGTTTCATCACAGGCTGGGGGTCTGTGGTCCCAATGGCTGACATATCTGCCTTCATGTCACCATTTTCTTTCACTTCAAGATGATGCTTTGTAAGCTAAGCCCTTAGGGAAAGACCCGATTTTCTTGCTCAACTGCAACTTTATCTACCGCTGTAATGCCCCATGACAGTGAAAAGAGATAGGAGCCAGGCTAGAGCCATGTCCTGAAAAGGAACTGCTTCCAGTGTCCCTTCCCCTGCATAGGGACTGAGGGCAGGAGGGATGGTGGGGCTGAAGAGGGGCTTGGTGGCTTTGTAGCCATCTCAGGAGCTTCCTGGGTGTCTTGAGACACTGACAAGTCTTCCCTGCTCATTTTGAGATCTTTGGTGCTGCTGGCTGTGCATCTTTGAGACGGGAAGAAGGCACTGAATCAGCATAGATTGTGTGCACCCTGGACTGACACTCATCCTCTCTGGTCTCATCTTCTGGTCTGTCACATTAGCTTTGATGTAAGTCCTTGAGAACTGAGTGAGTTGAGTGAAGAAATCAGCTGTGGGGCCAGGAGGACTTTTGCAGTGGAGTGGTTTGGTAAGGGGCTTTTGTAGGGCGTCAGCCTGGGGTGAAGGTGCCCACACAGATCCTTCATCAACCTCCAGCCACATGAAGGAGGCTCCTTCTTGTGGGGACCTGCTGCAAGGGTAGTTCATCCCAGTGCTAGGCAAAGAGCTTGGGTTGGGGAAGCTGAGGCACAGGGAGACAAAAGAACCTGATGGTAGCGTCCAGAGTGGACTTTCAGTCCTGATTCTTTTTCTGAAGACCACTGAGCACCTCATCCCTACAGAGGAAATGGGGACCTCTTAAGAATACAGGAGGGTCTCTGGGCAGCACTGCCTCTCTCCTAGGTGGATGGCAGGGCACTGGCCCCCTTCCATCCACTTACTGATGGCTTGGAGCCCACCCTGGTGCCCCTCTTTTCCTCCTTCCCAGGAAACTCCCCCTCGGATGAGTCGGAGGAGCGTGAGCGGGACCCCAAGGTGCTCACCTTCCCTGAGTACATTGCCAGCTTGTCCGAGTCAGGCACCAAGCGCATGGCAGCCGGTGTGCGGATGGAGTGCCAGAGCCGAGGGCGCTGCCCCTCCTCCTGCCCACTCTGCCATGTCACTTCTAGTCCCGACGTGCCAGCCGAGCCCATCCTGCTGGAGGTCACTAAAGCAGCCCCCATCTACGAGCTGGTCACCAACAACCAGACACAACGGGTGAGGAGCCATTGGCTGGGGCTGGTGGGGTGGGCATGGGGAGGTGGCAGGATAGCATCGAAGTGATCTTTGCAGGCAGCTTGCAGGCATCATGTCAAGCTGTGGCAGACCTTGCCCACTGGCCAGCCCTGCTATCCAGCGTGGACAAACCATGCTGAACCCACCCAAGGGATGGATGAACACTGACTTGATTGGTGGTAGGATGAGAGCTCACCTGCCCAGTGCTTACCCCCTTCCTCTCTCTCTCAGCTCTTGCAGGAAGCCACCATGAGCTTGCTGTGGTGCTCAGGGAGTGGGGACGTCATTGAGGACTGGTGCCGCTGTGACTCAAGTGCCTTTGGGGCTGACGGGCTGCCCACCTGCGCGCCTCTCCCACACCCCATGTAGGTCTCCATAGGTGCCCAGGCTGGCATCTAGTTATGATGGGTCTGGGAGGAGGAGGTGGTGGCTAATGGCATGGTAACAGAAGTTGGTGGGGCTGGAGTGGTGTTATGGAACAGGTTTGCAAATGGATAGAGGGGACCTGGAAATCAGGCAGAGCGTGCAGAGATGCAGTATATTTTCTAAATTCAGCTGAAGACTGATTTTAGATCCATTCTGGTAAAGCATTGCCAGAGAAGGAGCCCTTTGGACCAGAGTGCCCAGAGTTAGGAGTATGAGAAAGTCTTCTCTCCTGAGGTTGCTCTCTCCCATGATTATAGCTTTGAAATGATTGAAGAAAAGTAATTCAAAACCAGTCCCTACATACTGTCTTACAGAAACCAACTCATTTCTGGTACATTTGCATGTGGTCTGCACAGCAGCGAGTGGCACTAGCAAATATGCTCATGCTGCCTTTTACATCAGCCATAGGGACTGCTTGGTGAGGTTGTCCTCAGGATCTCTCCCATACACTGTGCCTCAACCTGGTGATTTTGCTGCCTTTTTAAGGTACAGAGGAGCAGCAAGGTGGCGACAGACATGGGTGAGGGTGAGCATGGGTGGGTGGCAGACCTCATCTTCCCAAGAATCTGACCAGCTGGCATTGCCCCCTAGCCTCCGGCTCTCCACTGTTCATGAGCCCAGCAGCACACTGGTGGTGCTGGAATGGGGGCACTCGGAGCCCCCCATCGGGGTGCAAATCGTCGACTACCTCCTCCGTCAAGAGAAAGTCACTGACAGAATGGATCACTCCAAGGTGGAGACAGGTGAGTGGGGACTCCACTGGTTCTCTCTAGGGAGAGTGGGATGGAGATGTTGGAGGAGAGCCTCTGTCTCCCTCTTTGAAAGTGGGAACATATCCAGTATCGTGTGAAAAAGAAAACAGCCCATCTCCTGCCCACGATGCTGCACTAGTGGCAGCTCCATGCCATGGTGATGAGCCTTGCTAGAAAAGCAGTGGGTCCATCTCTGCACGAACTTCATGCATGAGCCTTGGTCCCCCTCAACAGCAGGCAGCGTGTTAGCAGGCACAGACCTCAGCAGCTCTCCACAGCCCTGGGGACATGTGTATCATCACCCACAGTGCATCCTCCCCTCTCTCCCTAGAGACTGTGCTGAGCTTTGTGGATGATATCATCTCTGGTGCCAAGTCACCCTGCGCCATGCCGGCCCAAGTGCCTGACAGGCTGTCCTCCACCATCTCCCTCATTGTTCGCTGCCTGGAGCCTGACACCACCTACATGTGAGTTGCCTCCCCTGTGCCATGCTTGTGGCAGCACTGTTGCTCTGATGCTCCTTTCTTTGCGTGAGGTCTTGGGAGTCCAGAGCTTCACCTTTTTCCTTCTCTGCAGGTTCACACTCTGGGGAGTTGATAATACGGGAAGACGCTCCAGGTCCAGTGATGTGACGGTCAAGACCCCCTGCCCTGTGGTAGACGACGTGAAAGCTCAAGGTGAGATGGAGGGAAATGGCTGGACTGTGATACTTGGGACCAGCAACAGGGAGTTCCCCCTTCCAGCAATTCCCCACACACATCTTGCATCCTGGCTGTAACATCTCCTTCACCCATGGTGGCCCAGGTGCTGCCATGGGGTATTAAGGGTTGGTGTTGAGAGTGGCAGGAGGCACAATTCCCCTCTGCAAGTGCTTCTGGAAGGATGGGAGGATGGGTGGAGGGCCAGGCATGCAGCGAGGGACAGGCATGTAGCACATACCAAAATAGCCAAGACAACCTGCCTGTCCTGCCCCGAAAGCAACTGGTAGTGTAGGTGGTGGTTGTGCTCAAGAAACCCAGTTGCGTACCTTCTCAGAAATAAATGGTATTTTGTTCACTAACAGTGCCTCATGACACCACATGTTTCTTTTCTTAATTGGACTGAACTACAGGAACCTAACATGGACTGAGTCTGGGGAATACCATCTACTCTGTTGTTCCTCCACTGGGACCTTTTCTTGATATAACATTAACAGTAACTCAGAGGACAAACTTTGGCTTTGGTCTTGGCTCTAGAGCTGAGCTTTAGCCTGGTGGGCTTTATTCATGGCATTCCTTGCAGCCCACTGAATACCTTTATACTTCTGTGCAGAAATAGCAGACAAGATCTACAACCTCTTCAACGGCTACACCAGTGGTAAGGAGCAGCAAACAGCCTACAACACTCTGCTGGACCTGGGTTCCCCTAGCCTGCACAGAGTCCTTTACCACTACAACCAGCACTACGAGAGCTTTGGGGAGTTCACCTGGCGCTGTGAGGATGAGCTGGGGCCCAGGTAGGCTCAGAAGCTGGGTTAGCTAGGCAGGAAGGCCTGCCTACCAACAGGCTTATCCTTTGTAGATGTTTGTGACTACATCTACAGGAAGGCGACTCTGGCAAATCTCACGAATTTGATGGTAGAGCTTAGAATCTCACAGTGGTGTTCCTGTTTTGGATGCTGTGCATACGTTTGGTGTCCAGCCATCTCCCTTGAAGGACCAGAGACACAGGGCAAGTTGGAAGGCAGTAGACCATAGTCAACCCCTCATCCTTGACCATCTCACTAGTCCTGTACTGTCTCTCAAGTTTTTCCTAGTTTGTTCATGCTGTGCAGGGTGGGAAGGGGAAGAGATTCTCTTCTTCCCTCAGTAGCTGCTGCTACATGGAAAAATGCATGGAAAAAGTCTTGGAAAAATATTGCACAGCTGAGTGTGGTTGGAGTGCGCTAGAGAAGGGCCCCAGGCATTGATGCAGTTGACTCACTGTCAGTTGTGGTCCAAAGCAGGCAGTAGATTGACCTTGGGTCTGAATTGCATGTGTTCCCTCCCTTTCGATGCATGTCTGCGGTTGTGTGGGATGATCTCAGGGACATGAGTGTTTTGGTGCCCAGGCAGTGCTAAGCTGCCACAGCAGGTTTTGGAGGAGGTGGCCCTGATCTCTTCCTGGCTGAAAACGTCCCTTCATGCCTAACTGAGAACCATGTCTTCTCCCTGGGCTTCTCCAGGACACTGCAGCCCCTCCAGTTGCCTGGGGATGGGTTGTCTCATGTCCTGGGCTTGCAGAGACAACCAGATGTTCACTTCTCCCCTTATCCTTTGATATCTGCTTTTGTCTGCATGGTTTCCTAGTGATGTGGATGCTTCCAGTTGGTTTAACAAGCTCACTGTGAGATTGTGTGGGCTGCAGTGGTGTTTCACAGCATCTGGCCTCCAAAGAGCCAGAACCTTGAGCCCATCCTAACTGAAGTAATCAGGATTACTTCAAGTGTATGTCAGCATCAGCTCCTATCTATGAAATGTATGACCTCCACCTTACCCCCTGTTCCACACCTCCTCTTGCTGATCTCACCAGTAGCTGTCTTCCAGCCCTGCTTCTCCAGGTGATCACTTGTGGATTTCTAGCAGAAGACTGGAGATCCTCCAAATACCTTCTCTGTTCTCCAGCCCTCTGATATTTGATCAGAAAGACACAACAAATAGCTGGTGGCTGTCATGCACTTAGTGTCTTAGGCATATCTCCTAGTCCAGCTTTGGTGGGAAATTCCTAAGAGATCCTACACTCCTTGAGGAAAAGCTGGGATCCCTCCTTTTTCCCCTTTTCCCATTTATGTTCTAAGAAATGTGAACTCTTTGAGGCACACCCTTAAAGCTCAGTAGCGACATCCCTGTGCTTGGAGTCTTGTTAAGGCTGAGGCTCCCACCAGCTCCCCTGCCTAGGGTTGCTTCATTCCAATGACACTGAATGGGATCATCAGGCTTGGACTTTCATCTCACCTTCATCTTGGGCCCAGCTGTGGTGATGCTGCTCTTTCTCAATTTCCAGATGTGAAATCCAGCCCCAGTTTGCAAAGGACATCTGACATCTGTTGTGATGGTTTGCATGAGGAGCACATAAAATTCTTTATGTGACAGATTGGAGTCATCACACAGCCACTGCCATCACTGCAGCTGAGCAATACCATAGCCTCTCACTGCCTCAGTGAGGAGACCAAGGACCATACAGAACATAAGGTGGAAGCTGCCATCTCAAGCCCCACAAGGCAGATGTGTATTGACATGGAGGAGCCAAAAATGCCACTGAATTGCCCAGATGTTAGCTTTGCTGTGTGAATCGATGAGCCAGAGGGTTAATTCCAGCCTCTGAAAATTCTGGAGTGCTTAGGATGGGATGACGCAAGTTGCTGATGAAGTGTTTGCAGCTCGCACTACTTGGAAAGAGACATTTAGGCAGCTGCAATGGGTTCTGGTGATGACAGATCTTGGAAAGCAGACCTCCTGTTTGATCGTCTGTGAGGGCGAAGCATCCAGACTGGTGGTGACAGGACAAATCACTTGCAGATGACATTATTTAGCCAGCAGACAGAGTGTTTGTTTGACTGTTGCTGATGCTCCTGAATGTGGACCCACACGAATGACTTTACCATGTCCCTCCTCCTCCACGTGGCCATGCTGCCTTCTGGCTCTGCTTGTTTGTGGTGTGCTCACCTCCCTTCTTGGAGATGCTGGCTGCTGGAATGAAGGAAGTGAGGGTGTGTGCAGATAACTTGCTGGGGTTACAAAAGACAGTGCTCTCTCCCAATCCAAGAAGGGCTGCAGAAAGCCCTGCACTTGGCATAAGAAAAAATGGAGGGAAAGGCGAGTCATTTTCTAGCAAGTAATAAGTGGAAATGGGATTTGATGCGAAACCTGGTGAAGTCTGGTTGCGTCTATGGGCTTTGAGCCAAAATCTGTGGGATCACATTCAACATTCCTGTGAGAGTACATGAGATGCTGGAGGAAAAGAGAAGCAGCCCCAGCACCTTGTCTAGGTGTCTATATATGGGGACCAGGACAAGTGAGAAGCCATGTACGTTCTCATGGCTGGAAGACCTGGGCAGCTTGGGTAGCTATCTGTGGAGTTAACACTGTGCTAAGCACCTTCACCTCTCTGCTGTGATCTGGAAGTGAGTGCTGGGGCTTTGGATATCATGTGGCTGCAGAGCTGGGCAACATATTGGTGGCTTCAGACTTGCCCCTTTGAGCTGCAGCCATATCCACAACCAATGTCTTGAGGGTTCCCTCTCTGGAAAAGTCAAGGTTGGCTCTGTCTGAGCCTGGGGTAAATTAATTCCTCTCCAAGCAGCTCTGCCATAGTGCACGTGGCCTGGAGGAGGGTTTGGAGGGGATGTGGATGGTCCTCCATGCTTGGTACGCGTACCCTTGAGCTGTCTAACCAGCCACAACACAGCCATGTGCTCCACACGCAACCCCTGCTTATCCAAGTAGGAATGTGACAATGTGTTTTAAGAATGTGTTTTCCCTAACATCATGGTCTGTGCCTCCACTGCCTGTTCTGTGCTGAGCAGATGCTGAGTTAAAGCTACCAAGGGGATGTATCTTCTGTCTGTACTAACCCACCAACTGACCTTGAAGCTGGCTAGAGAACTTATTCCAGCTTTTGAGACACTTAAAATTTTGTCTGGGTTTCCAGGCACATGTGATACTCACCTTCAAGGCACTTGATCTGAATTGCCTCCAGATTTGCCAGATTCCCTGGACATCGCCCAAAGTGTTAGACAAGTTTAAAATGAACATAACATGTTTTATCTTAACAAACCATTTTTCTTGATAAAGGTATAAAAAGCACAATTTTAAGGGGAAGAATGTGAAAAGGAGAGAACACAATTTAGGTCATATTTGGCCAGGATCTTTGCACCCTTCCAGTATCTCATTCAGCATGAGGGGTTGGTAACTTAGCACTTTCTTGCTATCAGAACAAGCCCACACTGAAGCTGTGTTGCCCTGGGGGTGCTGCGTGTCAGTCTTCTGCTGAAGATGGATTCTTCCTGGACCTTCTCTCCCTCTGTCATACAACCTTCTTTTCTGGCTTCCTTGGCTGCGTGATGGCTCTTTATGAAGTGCTACTGCCATGACCTGGCTTTCCTTGTTTTGTTCTCTGCAACTGGAAGATGCAAAATGCACATACAAAGAACTGGGGAGGTCTGCCACATCCCCTGCTCTCTCAGAGCTTTTTGGATCAAACCTATGTTGTATGCCTCAGTATGTTCCTTCCAGTTTGCATGCTGTCCTGTGGGACACATTTTCTAAACTGTTATTAAATATTACAAGTCATCTACCAGGAGTGTCAGTCATTGTACTTATATCCTGTGATACTGCATCTTATGAGCTTGATAGTTCTTATCTCACTTTCAGCCTCCCATAATGACCCCCACAAGCCAGGCAGGTATTTTGACAAGAGAGCAATGCTCCCAGCATACCTGCCTTTTCTCTGCCCTTCCTGCCAGGTCACTGTCCTACAGTAAGCCATGAGTGACCAGCACACTTCCTAAACATCACTTCATGGAGAGCACACTCATGATGACACTGCCCTGGGCTGGCCATGCATGTCATGCCTGACACCTTTCAGCATTTCTCCACATGTCTGCAGTGCTATTGGCTTCCACTTTCCCACCCTGTTATATTTGGGGTCCAGTAACTGCAGCAGTGACTGGTGATGCCATTTGGGTCATTGATGTCCATCCCAAGGAGTGTTGGGGGTTTCCCAGCTATACCTGCGACTGCCCCTCAGTAAACTCAGCCTTGTTATGAGGATGATACAGGGTGGAAAAAGAAGGAGGGACAGAACAGGGAATTGTGAGTGCCAAGACCAGTGATGCAGGTCCAGCACCACGATGTTGGCATGGGCACCTCTGACCATAGTAGGGGGTGTTCTAATGTGCATTTAGGCTTGCAGTGGTGCCCCAGGGCTAGTGTGTCCCCCCAGCCATGCTGTACTCCTTGGACAGTATCAGGCTCCACTCAGCTGCTGTCTATGCTGCCTGACTCTTGTGTTGTTTCTTCTCTCTCCAGGAGCTCTGGCAGTGTACTAAATGTCTTTGGTTTTCTCTCCTCATATGCTCCTCCTGCCCTTCCCACCATTCCCCCGTGGTGTCTCCATCACCCCCACTGCCCCTCACTGTCTGTCCCCATGGCATCTCCCCTTGCCCATCCTCACTGCAGGAAGGCTGGCCTCATCCTCTCACAGCTGGGGGACCTCAGCAGCTGGTGCAATGGCCTCCTGCAAGAGCCTAAGATCAGTCTCCAGCGCTCATCCCTCAAGTACCTCGCCTGCCGCTACAGTGAGATCAAGCCCTATGGGCTTGACTGGTCAGAGCTCAGCCGGGACCTCAAGAAGACATGCGAGGAGCAAACACTGAGTGTCCTTTACAATGACTATGGTGACAAGGACTACTGAGGGTTGCAGGCTCCCACTCTCACACTGGCCTTCCCATGAGCATTTGTGAGGGTTTTATACATGGACCCATGGGGGGAGGGTGTCACTGATGTTTCTGGAGGCAAAAATTTGGACCAGGGAGTGAAACCAACTGCTCTGCAGGACCGACTCAGTATTAGTTTCTTCTTCAACTTGGCCAAAAGCCTTTCTAGTTAGAAGTCTTGTGGGACACAGTTTTCTTGACTTTGTTTTATTCATTTTGCCAAGAGGTTCCTCAGCATCAGTGGAGAGGGGAGTCCGGGAGTGTGCAGCCTTCTTCTCCCACCCCATCCCTGCCCTGCCTGTGGAGACCATTCCCGAGGGCGGGGGACATCGGTCACAGGAGAAACACAGTGGCACGGGCAGGATAGGGGAGCAAGGGATGCAGGGTTGCTAATGGTTATAGCTGAGCAAAACAGCCACCGGATGGCCAGGAGGATTGGGATGTTTGAGGGTTTTCTTGCAGTTGTAAAGCATGAGGTCTGTATGAGACCCAGCTGAGTGATGCTGCCATTGAAGGGCATGGTGTCACCAGCTGGGGTGAGGAGAGAGGAGCATTGGTGAGCCCTTCTCCTCAGGCTCTTCTGTCATGGTTAAAGCCTATGTCTGCTCCAAGATGCAGAGTCCTCCAGAGCAAAAGCATCTTGTCCTCAGGGCCAGTGGTCAACTGGACATTGTGAGCTTTCTTCTTGCAGGACCACATTGCTGGGAAGTCACATTAAAAATACCTTCTTGGGGTTTTTTTACCCACTACAATAAAGACTTTGAAGCAATGTCAAACTACTGCTCAGGAGAGCCCCAGCCAAGAGATCCGCAGTCAGATGGCTCAGATGGAGCTGCCTTCTGCACCAGCTGCCCTGTAACTCTGGCATAGCCCAGGCTCCGCATGGTGAGGGGAGTGGGGTGTAGCGTACCCCACCACGGTGGTGCAGGATGATCCTGTAGGTCCTGGTCCCAGAGACAGTTCAGTGACATAGCATGGCGGGCAGGCTCCTGAGGGTGTTGTTTGCTTGCGTTCAGGCTCACATCTGCAGCTCTCACCAGTGACTCTTTTCAAGCCAGAGAACTGGGGTTGTCCTGGGACACTGGGCTTGGATCAGGGCAAAATGTTCTCAAAAACCCTTTTACCACTGATGGTGTTAGAGGCAGCAAATGGCTTCCTTTTAGCTTCAGCTTCCAGCTTGGTTTGCAGAGGAGGCATCTCTGCACTTGCCAGCTGTGCACCTTTGATCTGGACAAGCCAGGAGCCCTACAGAGGGATTTTTATGATGCCTTTTCAGAGAGAAATTTCCTTTTCATTTTTTCAGTCCTGGCAGGAGAAGTCTTCAGCCTGTCACTTGTGACTTTCTGCCTCATTTCTCCTTATACCTGCTAAGGACATGGCTTGAACATTTTCATGGTGCTGAGAGGGAAGCAGCTGCGGTCCGTGGTCCACAGCTGATCACAGCCAACAGAGTTGCATCACAGTAATTGCTCAACAGCAGTTCAGTATCTTCCTGCAGGACCACGCAATGCTTTTCTCTTCCCTTCCATGGGCAGACCTCTCCTCCAGGGACAGCTAGCCTGGATGGGGTGCTGCTGGGAGCAGGCACCAGCAGTCAGTGTTACCTGGGTGTGTCGTTTCTGTAATGAATGTGTCTAGCAGGGGTCATCAGGCAAACGCCTGCTGTTTGCAAGTCTACTGTGTCCTTTTGGCTTCTTTTCATGTGTTTCTCCTTATATTTTGATGTGCCTGATGCTGCCAAGGGCTTAGGGCTCAGAGCAAGACCAATGCCATCTCCATGCACAGGTATATGTGCAGATGTGATCTGTACTGAGCCATTGCTCCTTCTCCTTTCAGTCTCCAAGACACTTTGATTTATCTTTTTGCTTCTCCCAGCAGATGCTGTGACAACTTTTAACTTCCAGCTGGGCAGCTGACCAGAGATGGGCAAAGGGCACCTTTGCTCAGTGCCTCAGAGGGGTGCTTGGACGAAGGCTGCTCTGGCCCAGACTCAAGTTGGTTGCTCGCCAAGTAATACCGCTTACATGGCCTTTATATGAAATGCAGACTGTTTTCCTTTGGGTAGTAGACTCTTCTCTTTTATCGCTCACTAGGTGCAGCAGCAGGGATGGGAGTGGTGCAGCCTGCCAGTCACTTGCTGCAGTGCTGCCAGAAAAACCCTGGACACCCCATGCATTCACACCCGCCTAGGTCACCCTTTTGTCCAGCCCCAAGATTTGCACTGGGGCTATTCAGATATTTCTGTTCCACTTCTGTGCTCACATTTCAAAGTCCTTGCATGGTCAACCAAAACCCTGCAGTATCATCAGCCGGCTGGGCCGGACTCCCTCTGCCCCAGCGTCCCCATGGCGGGGAGATGGACCACCCTGGAGGACAAGGGGAAAGACACCCGTCCAAGCTCCTTCGGCAGCATCCCTGCACAGTTGGACAGAGCTTGGCATCCTCATCCCATGACGTAACATGCAGTCTGTGTGTGGGGCTGTGCTCCACCTGGTTGATACTGCAGCGCTCCTGCACCCGCTGTGCTGCCAGGTCCTGCTGGTGTGGCACATCTGAGGGGCCATCTTCACAATGGCCCTGGCTTTGTGAAGGCTTTGCAAGTCAGAATTTTGCTCAAACTTGGATTTTCTTGCCAGAATCCCCCAACTAACACATGAGCCCATCTCAGACAAATACCAGCAGCCTGCCATGGGAGCCCAGACCCAAGAAGGGGGTTGCACCATGGTAGCAGACCTGGCTTTGGTGAAATGTGTTGTATGGGGCTTGCTCACCCAAAGCAGCCATGGGCAAACCCCATGGCGTGCCCTTCCTTGCAGAGCTGACACCATCCATGTCTGCTGCAGGGTTCTACTGTTTGGTCTGTACAGTATTTTCTCTCTTGGACTCCTGGTTCCCCCCACGAATCCTGGGAGACTCAGAAGCTGGAGAACACACTGTTTTGTCCATCCATTTCTGCAACCTCCCTGCCCCCCCCCGCTCTCTCTTCTTGTTTTATTTCTGAATTAATGGGCAATCATTCACCTGAGATGAACCTCTGGGTTGTTATCTTTTCTTTGCTGCACCCGTCCCCCTGTAATAGCATTATTACCTTTTACTTGTCGTGGAGTTAACATATAAAGATGGTTTGGTCCTTTTCTTTACAAAGATGGCTACAATTCATGTTCCTTGATGTTCAATTAAAACTCTAATGTGATGTTTTACTACTGTAGATTGAAAGTAGGGTGCTTTAGGGTGACGTAGCCATGTGGCAAGAAACACAAAACTCTTCCAGATCACTTTAAAAAAAAAAGAAAAAAAAAGAAGAAAAAAAGGTTTTAAACAACAGCAATG